TAAAAAAAAAATATCACTTTGCTTAGGATTAAAAAGTGAAAATGTGTAAATATGAAATGTAATAAAAAATTTAGGCGAGAGTAGGGCTCAAGAAAAGAAAAAAATAACTCAAATTACAATTGTATATAGATTAAAAATCTTCTAAACTAGATCAGTACAAGATTAGAAACAGAACTTGAATATTTTTGATTGGAATAATGAATTTTTGCGTACCTTCTCAATTGCAATGGTTGACGGAATTTTTTTAATCAATATTCGAATTGATTAATCAAGTTTAGCGGTTTTTTATTGTTTGACGGTAACATTAAGATTTTATCTAATAATTATTTAAATTTATATCAAAGATTGTTAATTGTTTACCAGCTTCGTGTAACTGATGTAATCTTAAGAAATACGTATATAAGTACGATATATCTATCTGGCTTTGATCAAAAGATTCGTATCTACAGAATTTAATTATAGGTACCTATAAAGTTAATCGAAAATATTTTATTTTTAAAATAATATTTTTATAATAGTAATAAAAAAAATGTTAGTTTTCCATTTTTAATGAACTTTAATTTTATTGTATTCGTTGTGTTTTTATACGGTAATTTATTGACTGAAAAATCACATCTAATGAGAAATAAACGAGTGTTTGATTTTACTAAATATATAATAAATAGAAAATGAATGTTTAATTCGTTGTTAATGATCGAATTGCCACAAGAAAGCTACTTCTAAAAAATATATATATATATTGTTTCGTTAAGGTTTAAATATTATTTAGTTCTAGATTAATTTTTAAGGAACTCACGCGCAATTGACGCTCCTAGCGCTGTCGTGGCGAGCACTAGCACGACGTATAACGACACGGCCATTTCAGTCGGTAGTTTTCGCGCCACTGAACCGTACCATCAGATTTTGATCAGATTTGGCGCTCTTTCGCCAATTAGTAAACGCTAACGTCACGATTATACGAAGTGGACGAACAATAAGTAACTTAATACCCTGGTGTTTTGATAGGAGAATAAAAATGCTTACGTAAACTAAACCTTCAATGGGTGAGTTTTAATGGTATTACACAGTTTAAATAAGTGTTGCTAGTACGAGTAGTTATGCGTGTTTGAGGCACACGTTTACAGCACGTGTACTGGTCTAAATGCCGGATGAGACCTATCATCTCTTTAGGCCTTTTCATATGAAATCACTATTTTTAAATGAACAGGTATACACATAATATGTATGTCTTTGTACTTATTGAGATACACTGTTACAAATATAGCAGTTTTTTTTTGTATTGAGGAAATGTCACAATGTAACATTGATACATTTTTTTTTCCTACCTAAGCTNATTGTCCTGCATACGAGCAAGCGTCTCCACTTGCTGTTGTAAGTTATTGAGTGCCTCAGTAATAAATGTCCGAAATGATGAAAATTCTGTTGCCAAGCTTGATGATGTGATTGAGGGTTCTGAAGACTTGTTGAGCTGAGCTTCAAACTTCGCCATACGTGCATTAAACAGCTCTGACATCTCAGTCAGTGAAGATTCAAGTGGATTCATTGTAACAGTTTAGTGAAGTGTGCAGAAGTGATTGATTGTAAAGATAACACTTTTCCAGCTGGTAGGTGCAGTTACTTGATAGAATAAATCATATAAGTAATTATATTGTAATTTTCCTTTATTTTACACTATTTCCACAAAAAACACAGTATTTCCGTTTCAACCCACAACTACCCATACCATACCATACACCTTTTCAATTCCAAATAGATAAATGGACAAAAGAGAATTTGTGCTTTTCTGCTCCGTCGCGCGAATACAGTTCCTTTGCGTTCACACCAGGAGCCACTGCGTTCATCTACAGTGCGTTTCCAGAGATATTTTTTGCCACGTACCATCCGGCTTTGGAATGAGCTCCCCTCCACGGTGTTTCCCGAGCCCTATGACATGTCCTTCTTCAAACGAGGCTTGTGGAGAATACTTAACGGTAGGCAGCGGCTTGGCTCTACCCCTGGCTTTGCTGAAGTCCATGGGCGACGGTAACCATTCACCGTCATGTGGACCATGTGTGGAGCATGTGGAAAATGCTTAATTTACCCATTTATTTATTATGGATACAAATCCATAATAAATAAATGGGATATATAAACGAATCTTCTAATATTGAAAGAATGTTTATGTTATAATTTTATTTATTTATATTATACCGATAAGAATATTATTATAAATGATCATACATCATTTTACATAAATAACACCTGTGCTAATAACTATTATGGTACGTAGGTACATTACGAAAAGTAGTTATAAAGCGCTAATAGATTTTAGCGTAGTTAAAATAAAATAAATTATTTTAAATTTGCCTTTAATTGTTCGTGCAATGCTTTAAATCACTGCCATTTTTGCCAAATTTTAGTCCTTGAGCACAATTTACATAATTATTTTATGTATAGTGTAATAGAAATTTGTGAATTAGTTATTTTAACACAACGATGCTGGGTCAGCGTCAGCTGGGTGGAGAGTGACAATTGGATTTATGTACATACATAAAATAGAATTTGATTTTACAGTGCTATGTGATAGTATTTATTTATTATATTTTAATAGATATCATATCGATTATTGTTACTCGATTTTACTACTCGTAGATCGAAGAAGTCGTCGTGGTCTAAAGGATAAGACGTCCGGTGCATTCGTATCTAGCAATGTATCGGTGTTCGAATCCCGCAGGCGGGTATCAATTTTTCTAATGAAATACGTACTTAACAAATGTTCACGATTGACTTCCACGGTGAAGGAATAACATCGTGTAATAAAAATTAAACCTGCAAAATTATAATTTGCATAATTACTGGTGGTAGGACCTCTTGTGAGTCCGCACGGGTAGGTACCACCATCCTGCCTATTTCTGCAGTGAAGCAGTAATGCGTTTCGGTTTGAAGGGTGGGGCAGCCGTTGTAACTATATTGAGATCTTAGAACTTATATCTCAAGGTGGGTGGCGCATTTACGTTATAGATGTCTATGGGCTCCAGTAACCACTTAACATCAGGTGGGCTGTGAGTTCGTCTACCCATCTAAGCAATAAAAATAAAAAAGATTTTTTGTACTCAGGACATTAGATGAAATCGATTCTTGAGGAGTGAACTCCAATTTCAATTTCCATTTCATCACATCGCATCGGTTTTTTTAGTTTTCAAACTGAACAGTCAGTCGAGATGTTTATCACAAGATCCGGATACGTATGTGACCAAGACCTTTTCGATTTGCTACCACTGGTTTTCCATCTCCTGGACTTTATATAGGGTATTTTCAAGTATTTCACCAAATTTCTACCCTGCTTTCTAAGTACTAGACTAACCGTTCCTAAGGAGAGTCAAGAGGATTTTGTACGTCAAAATATAACACGGGAAGTAAGCTAATTTCGACTCTGCTGATTTAAAATAATATTGCATTTCAAGTTCAATGTTGACATTTATCGTCATGACGTGTTTGTGTGAATATAATATACACGTATTATTATTGACTTCAAGGCAAATGTCAGCAAAGGACATTGATATAAATCTTATCGATTAATGAGTTATTACTTGGATATGTGCAGATTGTGTACTTTAGTGCATTATCATATTTTTTAAAGTGCAGACAATATCGATCAAACTTAAACATAAATAAATTTCCTTTCTATATTTAAAAGAGCAGGTTTTGATTATTTCCTAATAGAACCGGTAGATTTTTTACCCAGTGAGTGTTTTTATTCGATAAAGTAGATCGGCAGAGAAGCCTGCAGGCTTACTAATTGGTTCTCACTGTAGAATAAGACAGTATACTTTTCCATCATAATACCCGGAAATGTAAATTATTACATAAAAAATAAATGTTATTTTCTACTTATATTCTGAATCAAATTTTCGAGTTTGCTTTTATTACGCATGTTTGGCTGCTATGATTCAGTTCGATTAGTGAAGGTTAATACGGATTTTTTTCATCACAGAAGTCGTTCTACACATGTTAGCAATACATAATTTAATTGCCATAGTTGTGGTTTCGCCACGGTGGCGTGGTTACTTAAATTATTAAAACTTGTTAAGATAAAGCGTATGATTTTATTTTTTTAATCTCTATTTTTTGAAGCATCCATGGCTTGTTATTAAATTAAAGACTTTTGATGTACTGCATAGACCTGGGATTCGTGATAAAGCCAATCCTCTCATTTTTATATTAATAGGTCAAGAAAACAAAGCAGTGCAGTACCCCTTTTCGTTTATTTGTTAAGGGATTTTCCTGTTTTTTGGATAAAAGTAATGACGAGTGTTAAAAGAATAAGTTAGAATATGTCAATTATTTTTAGTAATGAAAAAAATAATAGCATATGAACAGTAAACGTGGTCGAATTTATTAAAAATCGTTTATTACGACCGGAATTCAAGATGGAAGAACTTAACGGAAATATTGTAAAATAAAATCAAACCCGTAAGATTCATTAATTAATTTTCGTAGTACTGATGAAATTATGTCATGAACACATCTAAACACAACACACCACTTTCCAGTCCGTTTGAAATGTAGAATAGCAGATATTTCAATGCAATTTCGATTACGGCTGTAGGTCTCAAGTTTTTCATAGCCAATAAATTTTCATAGCCAAAAGGAAGCAATTCACATATCAAGGATTTACAGGTTACCTTCCCATTTCCCAATCATCATTCAATGTGAGGGTAAGCAGGACTTAATTCCCAGAAAAGAAATTATTTTATCGAAAATAATTTAACAGTGTATACTCCAAAACGTCATCTCTCTGTTGAAAAAGTTATTTTTTATTAAAAGTAGCTGACCCGGCAGACTTCGTAGTGCCTCAACCGATAAAATAAAAGATAAAATAAAATAAAAGACCGACGGGGGACATATCAAAGGAAAAACAAAATTGTTATTTTTATTTAATTCCGAGCATTTTCATATTTATCTACCTTTTAAACCTTCTCTGGACTTCCACAAATTATTCAAGACAAAAATTAGCCAAATCGGTTCAGCCGTTCTCGAGTTTTAGCGAGACTAACGAACAGCAATTAATTTTTATTTAAAGAGATTAATTAATTATTCATCGAAGCTCCTTTTTCAAAATCCATAAAGTTTTCAATGCTTTTTTCTTTCTTCTGCTTCTTCTCTTTGTTTTTATCTTCAGATTCTTCTGTGCCTGCCAACGATGGAGCACGGCTCGGGTTCCTCAGTACTGGCTTCTGCTTGTTGAAAAAGTTCAGCGAAGCTTTTAATTCTTTGACAAGAACTTCTTTGTGTGTGACCTAGTGGGGAATTAAGGCGTTTTTTAATAAAAACAACAACACATTTGAGAGATGAATGAAGATGAAGATGAAGATACGGCTAATAATATAAAGCAACAAAGATCGTTACATAAAATAATAGAGATTATAACATCACGAATACCACTAATTCACATTGTGATGTCTCCTATAACTACTGTATACCTATCTAGTGCAATTAATATAATTAAGAAATGTCAATACGTCGTTGAATGTGGAATGTTTAATGTATGTATTTAATTTTAATCTTACATTTTCACGAACAACGATATTCCTGACTTCGTTCATGAATTCTATGGCGGTAACAATGAGGCTAAAGAATATGCCAACTATCAGTACAACGAAAGCACCTAGAAGATTTTCAAGCTCCAAGTCCCCTTGTACGTCGTTCGCATCAACATCTACGTCCTGGAATAGGAAATATGTTTGCTATGAGAATTTTTCAGCATAATACCGCTTCATTAAGCGAACTGATATTTATTGAAACTGATTACAAATATTATGGAACAACTTTTGACATCAACTTATTTTATACGCTGATGAAATTACTATTTATTTATTTAGGGCGCCTTGTGAGCCCGCACGGGTAGGTATCACTAGGCGTATTTCTGTCGCGATTCAGTAATGCGTTCCGGTTTGAAGAGAGGCACAGCGGTTCTGCTAGACAATTGAGACTGAGACCTCATGCCTTAAGGTAAATGGCGGAATTCATTATAATGTTAATGAGGTCTGGTAATCACTTAAGCACCAGGTGGGCTATGAGCTCGTTCCCTTTCGATGTAATAAATTAATAAAAAATAAATAATATCAGTATACTAGATAGTTTAATTATTAGCACGATTGGTTAGTTACGGCAGTATAGTTATTATCCACGCCGTCTTTTATTTATCCCGAGTTCGATTATACACTGTACAAGAATTTTTGAATTTTGTTTTTTGACGCGGTCCCGGTTTTTTCCGCCTTATTTTTAATCACCGAAGAAAATATAAATGCCATCGTTGGCGTTTGTCGAAAGACAAAAAGGAAGTTTAAATTTTTGCTTTGAGATACAGCTAATCGATGTAGTCTAATGGTTATATCAGATATCCATTACACATGATTCTCAGGTTAAAAGAAATGAACGATGATTTTAACTACTAACCAAGAAAAACTTTTTTGACTTCCCAAATCAAAATTTGCACATATAATTATTAAAACACATTTACGATTATATTAGTTGAACAGCTTACACCAGATTTACGAATTGATTAACTCATTAATCTACCATTTTACGTAGAATTAATTAAAAAAAACTTGAATTAAGTTATGAAGTCGATAATTTGAGAAGAGCTTGATTGATGATTTAGAGGAAATAAGACGAACCTTGCAGATTTTCGCATCGTACTTTTGTAACCACCATAAGTTCCTGATTTTATCTAACTTTGTCGACTCTTGTAGTTTCAATATAGCCCTATTTATATGAGTTCGAAATGGAGAATCTGAAATGTTAACATTGCAATTATTTAACGACTATTCCGACTTTTGAAAAGTTCTTACTTTTGATATTTGGGCTTCACTAATTTTATGGTAATTTATTGTATATTTTGAATATGATATTTTTAGCGGCAGTATAAACAGCTATTATTCACTATTTGGGCTTGGAAATGCTGTACTTAAACAGCAATATTTATGTTGCAAATTCCTCTATTTGACCCCCTTGATAACAGCAACTGTCATGATTTTGCTATAGAAATATGTTTCCCTAAGTTTATTCTGGTTATGTTAGAAAACAGCAACTTACTTGCTGGCATAGCGATTCCATAGTATTTGTTGTCCAGTTCCCCTCCTATTTTTTTCAGTCTACAGTCTCTTCTAAGCTTGTATTCAATGGCAGAAGACTCCATGAAGAAAGCGTATTTGTTAGATCCGCTTAAAACCCTTCTCACTCCTTCATCGTTACTTTTGACTAGCAATGCTGGATTTGAGTTCATTGTTTCATACATACGTCTGAAGGTTTTATCTTTAGAGTTCTGAAAATATTTAACTTATTTAACAGAGATATTAACAAAGTATATGATAGTTCTTTTATTATTAATACGCATCTGAAGTTTAATGAATTTGTATAATATAGCTCACATGCTTATAATTAAAAGTTATTTTAATATATCACCGTTCATCTTTTGGTGCATACAATATTGTGTAAAATTGTACTGCATGTAAGCTATAGATGCAAGCGCGCACATTATATACAGATGCAATTTGCCATCAGAGTCATTAATTTTGGAATTAGTTTTTGTACCGACATCAGCAAGGCGTCGCATATTTTCATAAGGTCATTTGTTCTACAACATGTATCAGATAGTTTAAGTTTTCACGAATTGTTATCATCATCATCATAAAAAAGAGAAACCTAAACACACCGCACATAATCATTTCTGTCCCAGACCATCAAGTTCTAGACTTATCTACATGACGTTTCCTTGGCTTTATGACATGTCCCTCTTCTGGCGAGGTTTAGGCTTAGGTTAGGTTTTAGGTTAGGTTTAAAGTTAGGTTTAGGTTTATAGACTGGTTACGGCTCTGGCATTGCGGGTGTTCATAGACTGACCATTTACTACCAAGTTGGACGCATGCTAAGGTACGGGAGGAGGGTAGCAAAACTGGTATTAATGCAATTAACGGCCGTCTGGTGTAGTGGTAAGTGACATGGTAACAACATAAGGGGGTCGCGGGTTCGAATCCCGCCAAGGGGAGATATTTGTATGATAAATATAAATGTCTTTCTCAGGGTTATGGATGTATATTAAATATATGTATGAGTATAATAAAAATCTTACATTTATTTCCGTTATCTGGTACCTGTAACACAAGTTCTTTACGAACTTATCACGGGACCAGTTAACGTGGCGTGATTGTTAGTAAATATTTATTTATTTATTTATAATTGAGGCTATGATTTTATCTCTTAAGGTAGTTCTATTTACATTGAATTCAGTACATATCCAGTAAAGACAAAAAACGGATCTTGTTTTGGAAGCCAAGACTAAATTCGGGTCAGCGAGACAGGTAAATATGTATCCGGTAATCGCTTATGACTAGAGAGGACGTGAGATGGTTTAAGCTATGCAGTTATAACTAAATAAAGGAAATTAGTGTTATATATTCATAGAAAACGTATAAAAAATGAATATTCACCTTAAAAAAATCAACTGTAGATCCACCCTTAATAGCACCGTACAATATTTTGTTTTGAGCCGCTAAATCTTCTACGCTTTTAATAGATTCATTTTCCAAAGCGGTTGTCATCGAAGCCGACAGCTGGGCGATATATGTTTGACACACAATCATAGAGAAGAACCACCACATTCCGCAGACCCAACGGGTTCCGATAGCCCTGAAATTTATTAAGGTGTAGGTTATGAATATAAAGAGTGAATTAGCTTTCCAACAAGAAAGGGTTTCAGTTTCATACTATGTTTAGAAGCACAGCGTGTCTATAGTACTTTAGTGATAAGACTAAAATCCTATACGAACATAGTATACCTAGAAAATCCTTGTTTGGTCCCAGGTGCACGTGTGTGATTTGGGCTGATTTTTTTATGGTATTATTTTTTACTAGACATAAAGCAAATACAATTTAACTAGTAAGTCAAGACCAGATGTTTCAAATGGAGTACAAACTGGTTATTGCTCTAGATGGGTAAACTGCATTCCTATTTGGAAAGAGTGGTGACCAGGACCCATAGCATGAGGGTGCTTTCGTGATTAAAATCATTTCAAAGTCTCTATATAAAAAAATAGTTTTAAACGTACTTGGGTAAGATATCACATCCTTGTGTCATGATAGATCCCATTGTCAACCACGCACAGTTCTTGAATGTCCAAATATTTTCTAATTCTTCTGGATTTTTCTCGCAAGGTTCCGGGTTTTCCCAATCAGCAGGTGAAATTCTAATGAAGGCAGATAAGATTAGACGTCGACGCTAACAATCGAAGTTATCGATAGATCACAATCGATTTCCAGCTATCAATCTAAGGAAGCGAATTTGTTTACAGTTTTATTTTTAGATCTAAGTTATAGTATTAAAATTTACTTGTAGTATTTCTGTACTGTAATTGTACACATGTACATATGTATATGCATAGCAAAAACCAGGTTTTATTATAGTTTAAAAAAGTCTTTATTCCAACTAAGAATGTTGATTTGATAACGGTTTTCATTTTGTTATTAATTATAAATAATGTCATTGAAATTAATTTTTCATACATGGCCTAAAAAAGAAATGTTAGATTTAACAAAAAAAAGTCGAACGAACCTGGAACAAACAAATAGCACCATTGAAACGACGCAATAAGCGGTAGCTGTGTACAACCATACCCCGACACTATATGGATTGAGGAAAGAAAACATTCCAGGTGGTTCCGCAAGCTGTTTCTTAAACAATATACTTATGCCTAACGACATGAATGGAACTGAAAAATCCACAATCTTCTTTCGATCTTCAGTGATTGTAAGATCACAGACGGCTAAGTCTGCTTTCTGGAAATCGATATGAATGAGTTAACTAAAAGTAGGATAACCGTATTCGAGTTAATTACTTTCGTGTAGAATAAATTTCACTTTAACTTTATTGTTTATTATTCGAGATTACAATACCACAGGTAAAGAATTGGTAAAACCATCTGAAACATGAAGACTGATCTCTATAGGTGTGTGGCGGCATTCATAATTAAAGCTATTTTAACGGCTTACAAATATTATTTCAGTCATAGCTCGTTTAGCCATATATTCTAAATACTATACTACTTGGTATAAACTTAATATGTAGTTACTTAATATGTAGTATTTAATTTATTCAACGAAAGCTAGCACCTTTTTTAGGACTTAGTTATTATACTATATGGTTACAATTTATTATGGCTAGTTTGTTTCAAGTGTCTCAAACATTATCGCATCAGCCAATATGTAAAACTTCATTGAAACGGTAAACTTGTTTTAGTATCTTACCTTATCGAGTAAGTCACCGATTAAGCCATTCCATTTCTTTGTTTTCACGTCATATTCCCCATAATCTTTGTCCTCGTCATGGAAGAAGGAGTAAGTGTAATTAAAGTTTTCGCTTTTTAAAATCTCGAAAATAGCCTTTACGAGATCAACAGAGAATCCTTCGTATTTCTCTTTATCGTTCACACATGTGGTGTCTCCCTCCTTGCATGGTTCCTTCTCGTAAAAGTACGGTTTGTTTCTTCTAGAAATTACCTGATACAATAAATACGTAATATTATCTGTGTTGGCCACAGAAAAAATGTTGGAGTCATCGTTTGTCAAACAGGTCTGATACTGACAAGCAGGTTAGACTTTATTGATAATAAGATTGATTTCAACGAAGGCTGTCGAAGCTCTTCTGGTCTCTATGTGAATTAAACATTAAAGATCATATGTATTTAATATATTTAAGGTATTACTCACAATAAAATGTTTACTTTGTTGCGCAGTAGTGCGATTATCTGTTTGTCTGGTTTCGACAATTTCAGTGGCATTGGATGAATCCCATTTCCCTATAGTATATCTTTGTGACATGTAAATTTCATTTACAAACAAAACGTAGTTTATCCTTTTGCCGTTCTCGTTGAATTCTATGTTACCAGTAACACCGACAGTTTTAGTCTGTAAATTTAAAATTTAAAGGTAAAACGTGTACTAATATAATAATGTTAACTTTACACGTTGTATTTTTAATATGTTAAATCAGTAGGAGCCACATTCCTCGTTATTGCGGCTACGAAACAATCGTACGGCTCGAATTGAAGGGTAAAGTGGCGCAGTTAATTATATACATATGAGATTCTGACCACAAGGGCACGGTATTCTTTTTGTTAGCAAGATTCAGCAGCCTCTTATATTTATGATTTAGGTGAGCATCTTTGCCCGTTTACTTTAGTAAAAATATTAGTGGCATGCTATAATATTCTGTACGATATACGACGATTTAATCATTAAAACTATCTGAACGGCTTAATTTCGCATTTTTTATTCTAATTTTCAAACCTTTACAGGTTTCATAATCAGGGACGACTAAGACCATAAGGTCTCGTCGAAATTTCGATATTGTGCTGACTAACTGATTTTGCTATACTATAATATAAAATAAGGAAACAATATACATATTGATATAAAAAAAATCGAGATTGAGCCGTGAAAGTATTTTAAATTATGTTTTGAACTATTCATTTAGAGTACCTACCTGCAGTATAGCTTTTTGTAGTTGTGCTCCATGTGGCCAGGGATGTGGATCTTTTTCGCATATTGGAAAATCTGGTTTTCTTAAGTCTTCTATTGTTTCCATTGCTTTCACCACGTGGTTGGTAATATCATCCATTACCAATTCATCAGTCTGCAGAATTTAGAGGATTGCATTACTTTGAAAAAATATATTATTTTCTATGTTTGAAATTTTACAATTTCATGTCGTATCACTCTTCTAACGCATCAAAAGCTGCTTAATTGTTTAAAAAAGATAAAATTTAATAAGATTTGGTTTTTTAACTACTAGAAATTACTAAAAGTATCATTGGTCTTCTTTTTAATTCCCGGAAATTCGATACATTATTAAAATGTAAAAGTTAGTATACCATACGGTACCGTAATTACTTTAATAATAAGTATCCATGATCCACCTTAGTAGGTCACTATCATCACTTTGATTTAGGTTTACGTATTATAATAAGACAAAAAATATTATTGTATCCATCTGTCTACTTTGTTTCTGTGTATTTTTATTTATCCGTCACTCCTACCGTTTACACTGTAGCCAAGATCCACAGCGGCAAACAAAATGAAAAACTATGAACGACGAAGTTCAGGAAATTAGTCTTTAATTTCGCAATGATAACACGGGAAAACAATGTAGGATGTTAAAATTTAGATGACAATTTTCCTTCTCGCAAAGCGGGATACAATAAATAATAAAGTTCGTGCCATAAAAAGTTCAACATCATCCGTAACATGGGTATAAATTGGACGCAAACTATGAACTGAAATATGATGGTGCCAATAACAATTGAAAACAACTGAAATCAGACTTGACTCCTAAAGAATTGAACATATAACCTTCAGTCTGATAACCAACAAGGTCACTCAATCAATCTAATCAATATTTAAATCAGAATAATTTATCACTGATGGCAGAATGCTGCATCAGAAAAGTTTAAGTTTGTACATAAACGCGAAATTATACTTTACGCCTGATGAAATATTTATCTTCCATGAAAAAGTTTAACATCCTTGCGTTGAACATTGCTCCATACTATAGCTTGTGTACACAAGAGTACACTCTTGCTACCACTGCCATTCTAATTTTTACGGTATTTTTCGTACTACTTCCGAATTCGTTGAAAACCATGAATGACCGTCTTACGAAGCCAAGCAGATCAATTTTTAGTAGCACAGGTACAATTTGCTACAGTTATCAGTAAATTATATTCGTACCTTCATCTGATTGACTTTGGTTGAAAAGTCGTTAGACCATTTTCCAACTCTAGTCGCTAAATAATGTTGAGCATCTTTAATTTTTTCAAATTCTGTCAGGCTTAACCAGGTTACATTTAAAGGAAGGTTTATTAATTTATCATAAATCGTAGCTGCATCCAATGTTACTAAGATGTAGTGCTGAAAAAATATTTACGATTAAAAAAAACTTTCTTATATTATATTATATTACTCTTTTTTTTAGTATTAATGTATCTTAGATTTAACTAAAACACGTTTCTTTTAAAATTGTGTTCTACACACGTTGCATTAGGTTCGTACATACCTGATAGTTGCTCAAGTTCTTGAAGCTACCAGCTTCCTCCATATATTTCATAACTCTGTCTACGTGACAATCCAATAAAATTCGATCTTCTCTGTCTTCATTCAGAAGTTTGAATATCTAACAATAAATTTTGTTAGTCATCATTTGTATGCCAATCGTTACACTCCAAATGAATGTCATAAAAAAATAACTAAACCCCTTTAAAGTTAAAAGCATTATTTTCTAAACAAAAAAAATATATATATTTGCTCTTTACATATTATTGTTATAGTAATCGTTCAAACAGATTAAATAAAAAATGAACGGCTCACACTTCTGTTGTCTCCCTCTGGATCTAATCTATATACAGTTACTGGATAGTCATCACTATGTCTTCCGAGTATCTTTTGAATGCGAAGTAATCCTAAAATTTATTTAATATGTACTATGTATGTTATAATTATGTCAATATATTTACAGTAATAAATAATTTTGATTAAAGCTCACCAAAATCGTCTTCGTAAAGAACTGCGAAAACCTTCCAGTTGTAAAAATTTAGTAGTTTCCCGTAAGCTACAGATATTTCGTCTGATTCTGGGTAAAAATTTATGGTTATTTTCTTAAAAGCAGCAGCCTCGTCGGCGGTTTCAATTTGGGAATTACTTGAATCTAATTCCTCATTAAGTTCAAGATCTGGATCTAGTGGTTTCATTGTGGCTTGTATGTGAGGTATGTTAGCAATAGCGCATTGATCACGAACTGCCTTGTCGGAGATTGGGTTTTGAGGTCCAAAAACTGCAACTGGCCTCATTGCAGTATTGGAGCATACTTGAAAAAAATATGATTAAAAAATATGATAATCATTTCAATAGACCAAGTTTAAGTTACACTATGCTGTCATATTTTTTTTTTATCGTAATCATAAATCTGATTTTGGCAACTTACACGATCTCCAAACTGAGTAGCTGTCAGTTCTGGGAGGCTGCAGCATAATAGCGTGTAGCCTGACAGAAGAGAGATGGACATGATGTACCGTCTCATTGAAGGCTTGTTGATGTGTTATGGCATTCCGATCGAAAATTCCAGCTGTTAAAACATGAAAGCTTGTATTGCGAAATGTTAAATATATTCAGTTTTCTTATGAATTTTGTTGCTCATTTTTTGGTTTACAATGGAAATAGTTGGGCTGTTCAATATACCGATAAATAATATAATGATAACCAAAATACATTTTCGATTATTTTTCTTTCCATTTTTGTGGTTAATTGTATAATAAAAAATGGGTCTTTAAACAGAATGTAAGTTTATTAATATAAACAGCTACATTATAAGATGCAACAATTCAATCAACGGCAAAATCTCTGTAAATAGTGTCATAAGGAAAGCATCTGACGTCACCCCGCATTCCCCTCACCTTCGTCATTAACAAAATTTATTTCTAAATATTTTGTTATTTAAAAGCTGAGATAGTGACAGTATAAGTAAACATTTATTGTGTAATTAAAAAAAAATACGACAGACCGTCTGCTCCTCTAGTACCCATTATGATTTGAAATGATAAAGCGAAACAGGGATTAGGTGACGAATTAACTCCTAACCTGAGGTAATGCTCATACTNCCTCACCTTCGTCATTAACAAAATTTATTTCTAAATATTTTGTTATTTAAAAGCTGAGATAGTGACAGTATAAGTAAACATTTATTGTGTAATTAAAAAAAAATACGACAGACCGTCTGCTCCTCTAGTACCCATTATGATTTGAAATGATAAAGCGAAACAGGGATTAGGTGACGAATTAACTCCTAACCTGAGGTAATGCTCATACTCGCTCAAGTGGATTCTTTGGAAAATGTTTATAAGATGTAAAATGTATTTATAAAAATCTCGTAGACTTATGTACAACGTATCTATGACATACTTGTAAAATTAAAACTATAATACTTTTACGATTTAATCTTGCGTCTTTTATTGTCGACTCGGTTTTCATTCATCACGAAAACTAGAAAGTACTCGAAACATTAGAAATAATACAATGACAATAAAATAAAATCAAGATTAAACCCTAAAACTACGTACGACTCGCGAAAATCGAATAAAACACTATTCTTGTAGTAATAATTCTGTAGCACTCTTAATAAATGTTTACAATTCATCTGTTACACTTACCGATTTGGAAAGACACTTCTATCGTTTCCGTGTAACGTATTTGGGCATAACCCCTTTGGATTAAACATACGCATATTAGTAACAACCACATGGCACAATAATTATTGACACAAACGCGTATTATTCATAGTGTTTACTGTAAAACTAGCGGTGATATCGCGTCAACGAATGAGAGTCGGTAACCCAAACACTAGTACAAAATTAACCCACCAGAGAACTATAATTAAATGGAGAAGCCAATATTATGTCAAACGTTTTGAACGTAGCAAAAGTAATGATTTCTTGAATATGGAGTGTTCTAATTAACTTGATTTTTTTATATTTTTATGTACCATACGAAGAAGTTGTTCATATAATTGAAACGTTGAGTACAAGTAATTTTATAATGTAAATGAAATCGTTGGGTAAGGTACCTACATACATGTAGATTTCCTAGTTGTATTTTTTTTAAAAGACTTCTATGGCTTTCTATGGCTTTCTTTCTTCTATGGCTTTGGAATACAGTTTTTCAATCTAAGTTTTAGGTTACCTGATGGTCACTTTACGCTTTAGCAGCAGTAATACGGTACGCAGCACCTTGATTAAACTCCTGATATAATGATGAACTTGGTCCACGGTAATCACTTGCTATTAGGTAGTTCGTATGCTCATCTATCTTCGATTACAATGATTTTGAACATGTCTTTGACACATAAGTATCGACACACGTTACAGTACTATTACTATAGGGAGCATCTTGCTTGTTAAGGCGTGTACAAGAAGAGTATCGTTTTTTGTTCATCATAAAACCAAATATTTTAACTTAACGCTTCTTTTACGTGGTCACGGAAGACACCCATCACGCCTCACGGCCCCAGCAAATGTGACCTAATATTGCATTCTAAAAATACACCCGAGGTTGACTCGAAGGGCCGTGGTCTCAAAGAAACATTCACGACTGGAATATCATCGAATAATGACATCAATAAAAATTGAAATAGTTTTAATTTTATTAGAATTATATATAAAATTTAGTGCTGCATTACGTTCTACCTCTTTACCTATAGGTACATACCTTTTAGTTCATAATTTTACAATAATATCTTAAACCATTAAATTTATTTTTATTTACAGGTGGTCTCTTTAACGGACTCACCCTGCCGAGTTCGGTACGAGTTTTCGAGAAAATGGTACAGAAAAGCAGTACGGGATTCTATCACGGAAGATCTTTAGAATCCAGTGTAATTGATAGCTATTCGATATCTTTGGAAAGTAAGTTAGTTATTTTAATGACATTTTAGTCCTCATAGTTAAAGCAAACGGAAAGCTATTAGCGATAGTACGCCGAAACTTTAGCTGCTCTCTTTAGTTTTGTTTATTGTATAGCTAGAAAATATATAGGTATTTTTATGTGAGATATCAAATCTAAGAATAATAATAATAATTCCTATAAAGGATTATATGATAATTTTTATTGACCGAGATCGACTGATGTTCTAAATGTAAGGGGATCATTTACTGACAAAAGTGTTAGTATGATAAACTAATACGCTAGACTTTACAATCAAATTATCTTATAAAATACATATAAAATTAGAGTAATTATAATTATATTTAATAAATGACTAACTATTTTTTCACTTATTTTCGATACATTTAATTTTTGAGTAGAAAAATATTTATTTACAAATAATTGTTTTTTTTTCCTACTTATGCTGATAGCCTTGAGAGGCTATTTCAGCTTCTCCTTGACGTGTAGGTGAACTCACGGGGCTCAAACCTTGGCCCTATCAAGAGCAGTGCTTCGCAGAATCTACCACCGGATTGGAAACGCGAACCACTGAGAAGATCCGGCGACAAACTCAGTGGGCATCATTATGTATATTTCACATTGTTTTTATAAAGTGACATGACGTTTTGATTTTAAAATCGCTCGGAATTTTATAATCTATTACTGTGATTAAAACTAAAAATATTCGAATCCCTATAGAGTAAGTTCGCATCTGATGTATTTTACTCGTAGCTCATAGACAAAACAGTATTAAAATAAATTTTATATCAATAAAGCTCTCACCAGATCTTTAAGAATTAGAATGTTCTGAAGATTATTTTTAAACATTTGCAGTGTGCCCGTTTACTTCTGATAATCATGGTATAGCAGCATTAATAGACGCGCGGCCTACTGATGGCATCTGTGATACAATCTGCTTACTATGCAACAGATATAATGTGAGTATGTAATTCAGGTAGAATATTTTTCAAATATTCAGTGGCTCGTAAACTCACAGTTTGTATAATGCGGTGATGTTTAAGAGTGCAACTGTCTCTATTCAATCCTCTCTGTTGTGAATGAGAGAGGTGATTTTTTTACTACCTATTCGCTGGTAGCCTAAGAAGGTATGACAGCTATGGCCTGACGGGTAGGTGTGATCATCAACCTGAGAGAATTTGAAAAAAATCATTCAAATCGGACCAGCCGTTTAGCTCAGTGACAAACACACGCACAGCAGAAATATATATATAAAGATAATAAAACTACATCATAGCGTCATTACAGTTTGTTAGAAATTTTCTTTAGTGACATTTAAAACTATTATTTTAAAGATTACAATATGACAGCAATACGCAAAGTTATACATTAATCTTTTAAAGAAAACAATTTCTTTTCCAATTAAAATATTAGTAAAATAACGCAAGCGATCCTTACGTATTCTTGAATAATGAAATTTACTTTGAATATTTGTTTGAAGGTATCTCATTTATCAATAGGCTGGGAAACAACCGAAACCTTGCCCACAGATTTGTTTACATTCCAATATCATCCACCTCCGAATTTGATATCTAAGGCGTACATAGAGCTGATAAAGTTTTTGCAGTGGGATAAGTTTACTATTCTCTATGAAAGCGAAAAAAGTAAGTCATAATTTGAATTAAGATTCCATGAGGCAATAGGAACATTTTATAATGCATTATACAAAAACATTATGGCTGAAATAATTTAATTACGAGATGTACATTTTTTAGGCTTTAAATATCTTGAAGAGATAATCAATAATTGGGGCAACCCCAATGAACCGATTTTGTTCAGAAAATTAGATCCTGAAGGAGATAACAGAGAAGCATTTAAAGAACTCATCAAGGTTGCGCATATGAATTACCATATACTAGATTGCCATTTTAGCAATGTACACAAATATATGATGGAAATCACCCAAGTTGAAAATTCGACAGAATATTTGGTACTTTATTTCATTATCTATATTTGTAAAGGTGGTGTTCAGACTGAACAATCCTTAAGACTGAGTTTTCAAAATAAAGACCAAAGCTCTAAGCCGGAATTAGTGTGGTGGACTAGAATAGTGCAACCCTATTTAAAACATCTGAGATCATTAAAGACTTTAAATCTCTAAGTGTTTGTATTATAAGGGATCCAAACAGGAATTCAATGTTTTTGTGGGATAAAGCCTGGGTATCCTCCCAGTTTGGGCCATACAATACCTCTATGTCTAATTATTTGCTTTATTAATAAAACACCCTTTCAAATTTGGTATATTCGTATAACCGCTGTACGTTATCTACGCGTTCAAAGAAGTGGGCAACAGCTAATCATATTACCACTAATTTAGCTTGCCGGGAACATTCAGTGAATGGAAGTTTATTTACTGAATTCTGTTAGGTTTTTTTTTAAATTGGAAGAGTCTGTAAAACTAATTTAACACTAAGCCTACCAGTAACAAACAGTAGCCGCCAAATTAACTGTTTTACAAACTTAAACTTAATTTCATTAAAAAAAGTCATTTAAGCGTCTTAGTACCTTGATAAAATTTAAAACAATTCCTTTTATATGCTGATAATATTTTGTTCTCATTTCATTTCTAATTATTTTTGGTCCTTATTTAGAAAACTGCATTTAATACAACATTATTGCATTAAGTAATAATAAAATCGATAATTTTTTTAATTACCAGTAAAATATTTCCTTCTCACTTCATTTGTAATTATTTTTGGTCCTTATTTAGAAAACTGCATTTAATACAACATTATTGCATTAAAAAATAATAAAATCTATAACTTTTTAATTACCAGTGAATTTGACCGTGCGCGGTACGGATAGATATATGTACAAAAATTGTTACTAGGTTTAGTGCTAAATTAAGATATTAATTTAGTGATTTTCTTTGGTCCAGAGCTTCATCTTGACAAGTCTAAATGCATATAGTTTAAATTTTCATGAACTACCGGCTCTCATGGCAAATGTATCAACTCTGCATCTGACAACACACATTAATGATGTCAAGTGGAAAGATTTAGGCATTAATACGGATAATGAACCAATTCAGGTAATTGCATGTAATTTCACTAATATTGTTTTAACTCGATATTTATTGACAAATTTGTGAAGAACGTCTGTGTTGTTAGACTTTTACGAATTACAGTGGGATCAAAAGTTTCTAAGAAATTAGATCTATTCAATTGCATTAAAATAAACTAAAACTAAAATAAACTTAAAATAAAATATAATACACTATATTGAACTTAAATACAACAAAATAACGTCAATGTATGGAAAAATTTAATGAGAAATAAACAGATTTACCACTTGGGCTTACAATGGGCACATTTATTGCTGAAAGCGATCTTTTTTAGTCACCTTAACATTAATAAAGTTGGTAAAATTAATAAAGTTGTAGTAAAATTTATGAAAAAAAAACCACATGTCTTCTCGAATTATTAGCAATATCTGTATTGTGGACGAATCAAGTAATTTTATTGTGGATATTTGTCATTCACATTGCAATGTCAATGGACGTTAATAAATCCTTCGTACTAGGAGAGTTCGTTTAAGCAGCTACCTCAATAAATAAAAACCACTTCCCTAAACAAAGTGTAATGGCGCAATAAATTTACGCTCTATTAAATTTACTGTCATTCTAATTTTTCAAAAATATTGTTTCATCGATTCAAAATCAGTTGGAAACTGCGCTAGTAGCTGACGCTATAAATCACGTCGAAAAAGCCATAAGAGGGATGATGGGTGATTCTAGAAGCTTTAATTTTATGAACGTTCCGCCTCCTCCAGAGCTGTGTGTTAGAGGCTCTAAAACTGATTACGAAGAGGTTGCATGGCCATTGGGAAACGAATTACGGGCTGCTTTAACTCAGGTTAGCTGCTATTAGTTAAAACAACAAGCGGTACTAACTACTTTGGTATATGTCATTAATCTATAGGGCGTTTTTTTATATCGTTCCGCAACACATTCCCTTTTCTGATACAAGACTCCTTACCAGTACAAAACATCTTGATTGTGGTTTTGGTGTTTCTGATTTCTGTGAGCATGGTAAAATCATATTATGTTGAATTCAGCAATACTAATCTGACTTGGATGGCAATTAGAAAATGATCGTATACAAAGGTCAATATCGTATCATATCGTATATCTTATCGTAATATTTGACAATGTTTGTTTATAAGCATATGTATTATTTTGGTTTTAATGTAGCTTAATTAATCACAACTAAAGCAATTTAATTATAAATTACAATTACAGACTACAATCAAAGGTTTTACAGGCTTCATAGATTTCGATGAATTTGGTAGACGAAAAAATTTTCATTTACATTTTTCGAAATTGGATGGAAACAGTCGTTTTGTATCTGCTGGCTCTTGGGATTCCAGAACCAACATAATAACGACAGAGCGGATTGTGAATGATCGTTCAAAAGTACTGAAACCTAACTCTAAAATAAGGGTAAATACGTAATTTTTTGACTTCGTGGAAAAGGAACCCAAAACTGGTTCGGTACTGATTGGGCCATGGGCTAGTTAGTTTATTAATCTTTGCCATTTTAAAGGATGTAAAAATTGTTACATAATATCTTCGAATTTGATTTCATTCATGTCATTATGTAGTATATTCCTGCACGTCGAGTATAATAATTTGTTTTCAATCCAAGTGTTATAATATTTTCTATTTTAAATTTTATGAAGTTCCAATAAGGAACTTTTGATTTATCTGAATGCTTTAAGCATAAACATTTGAAACGGCGCTATAAAATCATGAAAAAATAAGTTTGCAGTTCTTCATTTCATTTATTAGATGGTCTCTCATTCAGATTGCGACTAAAAAGGACCTTCCGTATTTTGAAATAGTGGAAAACTCAAACGGAACTTTTTATAGAGGATTCGTTGTTGATCTTATCGAAGCAATATTTAAACAAATTAAGAACGAAACGAATATAGAACTAGAATATGAATTTTATAAAGTGGCTGATAATAAACTTGGAAATCCCATCCCTGAAAGTAAGAAGTGGGACGGTATAATAGGAGACCTCATTGAACATGTAAGTGACGATAAATTTAACCAAAGACTATTGCATAAAAACCAACAAAAATAATCAAAAAAGTTAATACTTCGATAACATGAAACTGGTAATCAATACTTTCAAATTTGAGGTCTTCAGTTATGATGTTATCTTTTTATTTTACGACATATACGGTTTGACAAACCTTAGAATATATTATTGATTTGTTTGATTAATTGGGATCATTTCATTTTGTCGTCTTCAGAAAGCAGAGCTCGGTGTTGCCGATTTAACTGTAACTGCGGAAAGACTCGCAGCTGTGGATTTTTCGACGCCATTCATGGTTTTGGGCGTAAGCATGTTGTTTAAGCAAACAGAACCACCTCCGCCGGATATGTTTTCTTTTATGAAACCGTTGTCGTTGGACGTTTGGCTTTATCTGGCAACTACTTTTATAGTTATTTCGTTTATCTTGCTTATTTGTGCAAGGTTAGTATACAAAAAAGTTATGAATCGTTGACAGTTGAAAGTGATGTTTGAAGTTATTTTTGAATCGATCTCTTAAATACGTAGTTAAAACTACTTTTGTGGTTTAATCTCGTCTTATTTTAATTTCTAAATTTTCGACGTTTCCTAAATTAAGTTCTTAAATTTAAGTTTATTTTTATACTGTACTATATATATGGTAACGGACGACTTCATTGTGATAGTAGTTTTTTTAGTTTTTTTATTGCTTAGTCGGATTGGCCCACCTTATGTTAAGTGGTTATCAGAGCCCATAGAAATCTATAACGTAAATGCCGCCACCAACCTTGAGATATGAGTTCTAAAGTCTCAGTATAGTTACAACGGCTACCTCACCCTTCAAACCGAAACGCATTACTGCTTCACGGCAGAAATAGACAGGGTGGTGGTACCTACACGTGCGCCAGTAATTACGCAAATTATAATTTTGTGGGTTTGATTTTTACTACACGACGTTATTTCTTCATCTTAGAAGTCAATAGTAAACATTTGTTATGTACATATTTCATTAGAAAAATTGGTACTTACCTGCGGGATTCGAACACCGCTGCTTCGCTAGATATTAATGCACTGGACATCTTATCCATTAGGCCACGACGACTTCAAATATAGGCTAGATATATAATATGCTTATACTTAATATAATATGCCAGAACATTCGATGCACCAATCTTGCTCGCAAACGAATGTAATATTTTTGCAGTTAGCATTTAATTATGTAACCGAAAAATAAAAGTTTTTTGAAGTTCTCCATATTTATCAGTTTGTTTCCATGTTAACAGAATGAGCCAAGACGACTGGGTGAATCCACATCCGTGCAATTTGGAACCTGAAAGCGTTCAAAATATATGGAGTTTATATAACTGTATGTGGCTAAATGTGGGTGCCATAATGACACAAGGTTGCGACATATTACCACGGTTAGGAAATTTTTATTTTACATTGGTTTAATATATCGTCTTCTCGCATTAAAACTATATAATTTCAAAACTTACTAATTTTACAGGAGAGTGTATTAAAGGTTTAACGTGTAATATTTTTACTGCAAACACGCTCTTTTGACAGTATTTATGAGAAAAATACTGGTGATACCAAATGTTTCCGCATATTAACTCAATTCCGAATATTTTAGGAAATTGTACACTTTTAATGCGAAAAGGCGATATATCAAAATAAGATGGACATTAAATTACTTCAATTTTATAAGCTTTAAAGATTATTTGGTTGAGTTTATGTATCTAGTGTGATGAACATTCAAATGATCATTTATTTGTATGTTACAGAGGACCGGGCTCTCGATGGGTGGTTGGAGTGTGGTGGTTTTTCTCTATGATCGTAACAGCTTCGTATATGGCGAACATGTCAACTTTCATGAGGAACAATCGACGTAACAACGACATCGAAGATGTGAAAGCCCTCTCTGAACAAACAAAGGTTTCATATGGAGCCGTGCAGAATTCAGCCACCTACAAGCTTTTCAAAGTAAATTCACATGAAGATCTTTTAGGGTGAATTAGCTTGTTTATCCTATTAGTTTCTATAGGTATTACATATTAGTTTAGTTTAGTTTTTTAATTATTCCAAAGTTTTTTTATGCCTTCGCTTTCTCTAATTTTGATGCCAGATCTGTTTGTCTAATTGGTGTGCCTCTGTAATTGTACGATAAGCATATGGAGTAAGCTACAACTAAAGTGTGTATAAAGGTAGTCAGTGCACCCGCATTGTTTATGAATAACATTATCACATCAGAACTTAAAAAACAACCTTTTCTATTTAATACTTTCTAATATTTATCTATAATATATAAATTAAAATAATTTTTACATTATAACCCAGCTGTTTAAGTGGGTCTTGTTCTCTACATATGTCGAATTTAAAATGAGCGATGGTTTAAATGTTACCACTCTTTGGTAGAATTCGAATGACACTATTTATAAGAAGATTTCGATGGTCATGGACACGTCCAGACCATCGGTATTTACGCTTTCCAATGAGGATGGAGTGAACCGTGTGCTTAAAGGAAAAGGGAAATATGCATTCTTCATGGAATCTTCAGCTATCGACTATTATACAAAAAGACACTGCAATTTGAAAATGGTTGGCCCTAAATTGGATTCGAAAGAATACGGAATAGCTATGCCAAAAAGTGAGTGGATTTCATCAAAGTTTTGGGTTTGTTTGTATACTGCTCTACATAGTAGGGAAATAATACATATTATTAGTAACTGTTATAAATATATATAAAATTAAATAGTATTATAATTAGAAATCGATAAGAAGTTAAACTATTTAGAGATAACCTATGAAATGTAAATTTTTTTGAAATCTCATTTTTAATATTTGATTAACAATTCAGATTTTCCTCGGCGAAGTTTAATAGACCACGCGATATTGTCTCTGCAACAAATAGGGGAATTAACAAGATTGAAGACGAAATGGTGGGAAATTGAAGACAACGTGGCACATTGCGAGGTCACTTCTTACTTGTTTGAGTATACCACATTTTTTTAAATATGTATTTATTTTTTAATAATTCAGACTTGGGACATGCCCAAGATGATTAGTAGTTTCCCTAATACCAGGAAGGCCTGGAATTTGTTCCTATTACTATTCCAGAAAAAGTATAAACTTCTCTTTAGTTTTGAGTCAAAACACGTTTGTTATGTGCAATGAAGTAGGAAACCTATGGAAATGAAACGTCAACCAAAATTTCGTGCCACTGTGACGTCATCTGGCCACAAAACATGGCGGCTTTAGTGCTGTACAAAAGATTTCAATGTTATCAGGTTTTATCGATAAACGTTTTTGGCTCATTTTATTTTAAATATTGTTGAGTATTATTTATTTGTAGAATTTATACTTTAATGGNACTAAATTGAACTAATTTAATCGAAAACTAAGTATTTAGGAACTGTAATTTTTTTTCATGGATGTTCACTCTTATTACATGCAATTTATGATTTGAGTTATGAGTGTCATCTTTACTAGTTAAGCCAGATTCAGGACGGGTTACTGAGCTTACGATTCACCCCATGTTAACTGATTACCGGAAATTTACTGGTGGTGACTAGCTCAGCCGTGAAGCAGTAATGCGTTTCGGTTTGAAGGGTGGGGTAGCCGTTGTAACAATACTGAGACCTCATATCTCAAGGCAGGGGGCGGCATTTACGTTATAGATGTCTATGGGCTCTGGTAACCACTTAATACTAGGCGGGCTGTGAGCTCGTCCATCCATTTATGGAGAAAAATTAAAAAAGTCAGTAATCCGGTTCATTTTTTTGCTTGTTCTTGCCTATCTAACTACGTAAAACCTTGTCGGGTCATTTTGGTTTCACCTTGAGGTGAAGCAGCTCACGGGGCTCGGTTTCAGAGAATTTTGATAACATTTTCCCTAGTAAGATATCTGAATAATCCCCCTGAATTATCTGGGGGAATCAGATCAGAAATCTCAGATCAGAATCTGGATCAGAAATCCCTGAATCTTCCGCCGGATTGGAATCACGAGCACTGAGAAGATCCGGTGAGAAATTCAATGGGACATCAGTCTAAGCAATAAAAAATGCCTTTTTATAACTATATATGTATATTAAAAGAGATTTTTACATGTAGGTGACCTTCTACGAAGCCCTAATTAGGGAGTGGCGTGTTTCCCTGAATCCCAGGGAGCTTCACAAACAAGCGGCGCCGCCAGGATCAGCGATTCCTGCCTCCACCACACCGTCTACTCAAGGAGCTCTATCTTAATATATTAATATTATAGAGCTATGTCTGTAATGAGAGCAGCCGCATCGACTTTTATTAACTTTGCGGAGATTTATTGATCACCTAATCTTTATTGTATATCATTTAATCTAGGGGTACATTTAAAATATGTACATATTATTTATGAATATCAGGAAAACGATTTATTGTTCAAAATTACGTGCACTTTGAAGCGATATTCTGTGTTTAGTGCAAGTTTACTTCCTAATGAATTCTGTTTGTAGTTAAATATTAAAAATTGGTTCTTCATTGGTAAATTTAATATGAACATAATGTTAACTACGCTTAATATAACATTAGACCAGATTGATATGTTTCACGAACACAATAGTCTATTTTTTTTTTCGCAATTAATATGTACTGTGTCTACCTAACTTTATCACGTAACTAATTTGAATCTATACAATCTATGATACTGGTTCTATACGTTTTAATAATATACATAAGTTTGACTGAGTACTATGTGTTGTAGTTTGTTTTTCAAAGGATAATAAAATAAATTTATGTTTTTGTAAGTTGAATTTTACGTGACGCACCCTCCTTGTTGTTCTTGGAAAAAGAAAAATATGAGAAGGTCTTTATGATGTTCTATCTAGTGTAATATAATTGCAGTAATCAGGAGTGTACCAAAAGTCTCTGAAAGGGCCAAAAAAATTAGAACGCTGCTGTGAATCATAGTCTAACTTTTCAGGCTTATTACTTAATATAGAGTTTGGTGGGAATTTAGTGGTTAATGGAACTCATAGATAATCTAATGTGAATTTCGCAATCCATATTTAAACACGAGGTTTAAGTCTCATAGGCGTAACAGAACGACTGTAGAACGATATAGGCAGAGTCATGATTACAACTCGTCTATATTACGTCTATATCTATAATACGTCACAACACGAGTAAAATATGAAACATGATACAATACAATTGAGACCCTGAACTCGTGTATTAAAGTTGGTGCCACTATTCACGTAATAATTTCCATGGGCGCCAACAACTGCGTAACACCAGAAGGAGCGTCATTGACCCAAGTAAGCAACAATAAAAATGCCGGTACGAATTGTAGTCGAAGAGTCGTCTGTGTATTCCATTCCGTTCACCGCTCTGACCTCGTCTATCCATTGACGTGAATTAAACAGTAATCTTAGCTACAGTATCGTAACGTAAAGTGGCCATCCCTGATTCAAACGACTACTCAAGCTGTGGCGACGCCGGTAACTGTGACGGTTCAGTTCTAAAAATACATTCGCTTTTGTGGGGGCGACCGAATCTAGATTAGTCGCTGCACATTTTTTCGTTCTTTAACGTAATAATAACAAAGTGTGTGCTGCATTTCACTGTTGTGTTTTAGACCAGAGAATTAAAATCACTACTGCAGGAGCTATTGATCAGAAAAAGTTTTTCGCACTTTAAAGAAATCTTTAATTCCTACAATGTATCACCTCAAAATGTAGCCCTAGGCATCCTGAGATTTTATTGAAATAATTAGGTCAGGAGAAGTATTTTAATGGTAATGAATGACAAGCATCTGTAGTCACTTGAAAATGCGCACACAAAAGTCTTGTTATCTTTGGAAGCAAATTTCAGGAATTAAGGCTGATGATGACCGTAAGAGGCACGTATTTAGGTCATTTGTAGCTTTATGTCAATGATGCTGTCCAGTTCTTAGGTTTTTTTTACAAGGAGACAGATGAGCTCACAATTCGTAACTTGTAATCCGCTGTCTCCTTGAAGCAGGAATTCTAAATTTAAATCGGAACGCATGGGTTTACTCCTATGCACGGGCACTCCCACAATAGTTATGAAAAAAAAAAAAAAACGAAAACGAGCAATCCCTATATTGTTAGGGCGAATCTTAATCTTGTGAATAAGCAGCTAAACCGAATTATCCTTGCAAATGAAGAGTTTTTAAATTATATAAAAATGGGGATGTAAACACATACTGTGACTACATTTTACCTAAATATTTCCGTGGAAACGTGGAAGGCAACCTGGTTATTGGCGACCCATACTAATTTCCAAAAATAAACCAGACGCTGTGCAAGTCGCCGACGTGCCGCTCTCTAACAAACATTTATTATTTGATAGTCATACAACAATGCCGTTAATAAAACATCGAATAATAGTTATATCGTTTGCGCTGCTTTTTGCGTCTGCTGATGCACTTCGTAGTGCTTCTTTTCCCATAGGTACATTTTATTGTGATTTAAATTTGAATCATTAACGTCTTTCTAAAATACGTTTTGCTGTTTATTCACAGGAGGTTTGTTTAACGAACAAACGCTGCCCAGTTCATCAGAGATTTTTAAAAATAAGGTAGAGAAAATCGGCTCCACAGCTTACCACGGAAGATCTTTGGAATCCAGTGTAGTTGATAGTTATTCAATATCTTTGGAGTGTGAGTATTATAATAAAAATTAATACTATTACTTTGCCATGGATGTATACTAGTGGATAAATGTGTTGGAACACGTCAGGATGTTTCAAAAACATTTGATAGCACGCAATTTGACGCACGCTTTTACGGTCCACCTGATGTTTTTTTGTTACCGGAACCCATTGGCAACACCAAATGAATGCCGCCTCACACCGTAAGACATGTGGCGGAAACCTCAATAGATTTATAATGCGGCTATCCTATCCTTCCAATCATCAGAAATACGTTGGTTGACTGTGGTCACGTGCGAGATAACTAAAGGCTCTAGTACTATTAAAATTGAGAAAAATTCATGGTTTGGGTGAGTTAGGGAAATATTAGGTAGTAGTGGAGTGGATAATCATAATGGAATAACAGGAATGTAGTATTTTACATGAGCAGAGAAGCTACGACTTACGTAATATTAAGTGGTCGCTGGAGTTAATAGACATCAAAATATGATGCCGACACCCATCTTGAAATCGAGACCTCAATTTTTTTGGACGATAAATGTCTAAACCTTCAAATTGAAATATTAGCGTCAGAAATAGAGGTAAACATAAACATACACCTTTATCACCAATAGATACTGGTTGATGATCAAAGAATGCTACTGTATTTTCTCTGCAGAATCCCTTAGTTGCCTTTCCGACACCGATGGTAATAAATAAGTTGGTACTATTTGAGGGCATTATCACACAGCCGAAATCTCCTTAATTTTTCCCAAACTAGGTTTACCTCTGACTGGTTTATATTTAGCTTTGCTTATCTCTGGTGTTGATGACATCCATATGCGTTGCTATTAATTTACGATAATTTTTGCAGTTAAAGTTCAAAAAAAATTATGGTTGGTAGTTCTAGCCACATAGTTCATATTAGAATATGTTTTCTAAAAGTAGTAACCTTACAGATAAACTCATACTTTTTTTTATAAATTGACCATATTTGCGATATAATATGAGAAGAACATCGAATTGAGTAATAAGTTTCTTCTATATTTCAGTGTGTCCGTACACTGCAGATAATCATGGAATTGTAGCATTGATAGACGCGAGGCCTACTGATGGGATCTGTGATATTACCTGTCTCCTATGCAATAGACATAACGTGAGTAAATAAATATCAAACATTTTCATAATATATAATGATTTGCTGTTTATTTCTATAAAGAAATCCATTCTAGATCCAAAAGTTATTGGTATCCCAGAAGTGAAAGAATGAAGAAAAAAATAAAATACTTAGCGAAGAATAAGACTGAAAATAAAATAACTGTCATAAAATACATAACAATAAAATTGCTTTAAAACTTATTTAAAACGTGCCCCGTTGAGCTCGAGTCATCTGTTTTTAAATTACTATTAGCTGCACTGTATCACCACATCACTTGAATGAAGAACTTAAGTTATCCGGAAATTTTTGTATCAATAATCAATGTATTGTCGTATTTGTCTAGCATAAATATAAAACGTAACTATACATCTTTTATATTTATCAACAAAATCTATCTATATAATATTATAAAGTAAAAGAGTTTGTTTGTTTGAACGAGCTAATCTCAGTAACTACTGGCCCGATTTCTCGCTAAGACTAATACAAGCGGAGCACCAATAAAGAATGTTTCAAAATCGGGTATTTTTTACCTTTTGAGAGCTTCTACTGCGTGCGCTTCGGAAACGGTTAAAGTTTCGCTAAAATTATGTATGAGAGAATTATTCCCCTTTAAAAGATCTAAAAAAAAGTTCGCAACAGTAAATGTCTATATGTTAAGGTTGGCTCTCTATAACGTTTTTTATGCTAACCAAATTTGTTCTAAAATAAAGCATTATTTGTGAAGGTGTTTTTATAAAGATGACATATACGTAAATGAAGAGGCGGATAAAATTTAGCGTTATGCCAAACTAACTATTCCGCGCTCACGAAGTCGCGGGTAAAAGCTTGTTTAATTATATTTTCGCAAATAGCAACAGTTTTGTGATTTTTTGAGATTTATTGTACGTTGAAGTTAAGACCCTATTCTGTTTAAGTTTTAGGTACTAAATCGATTTCGATTGACAGTTGTATAACAGCTGTTTTACAGGCACAGTACATGTTTATTGTGTTATATGTCATATTAATATTTCATGTACAATATTTCCTGTGTTTATTATGTTATATGGACAATAATTTACCTGTCCTGTTAGATATTACAACTTTGATGCTATTTGATTCAGCGGTACCTTTAACGCTATTCTTATAAACATCTTTAAAAGCGTTTGTAAAATCCTTTATTTTAACTTAAGTTTTAACTTTGATAGTTACACAGGCATCAGGTACTACTTTTACTAGTGAAGTAAATTTAAAAAAATCTCTTTGTTTTCAGGTGACTCATATTTCAATAGGATGGGAACCTATAGATACCTTAGCTACAGATTTATATACATTTCAATATCATCCACACCCCAATATGATTTCTAAAGCGTATGTCGCTCTTATAAAGTTGTTGCAGTGGGATAAATTCACGATACTTTACGAGGATGAAGGCAGTAAGTAAAAATTACATCTTTATGAAGTCTTATTTTAAAAATTCAAAATTTAACATAATTGTCCCGACAACGTTCACGTACATAACGTTACTGACTATAAATTTCATAAATAATACATAGTATCGGGAGCTGTAATTGAAAAAATATAATGCAATATTAAATTTATTTTAATTTACGATTCACGATCATCCCTAGCCAAGATTTCAAGTATTAAATCAAATTCTCAACAGGTTTTATACGTTTAGAAGAAATAATAAACACTTGGGATAATATTCGCGAACCTATCTTGTTCAGGAAATTGGATCCCAAAGGAGATAACAGAGAAACTTTCAAAGAACTGCTTAAAGTGGCACATATGAATTATCATATATTGGATTGTCATTTTAATAACATACACAAATATATGTCCGAGATTACTCAAGTCGAGAATTCAACAGAATATCAGGTTCGATTTGTTTTGCAGTCAAATTGTTAGCAAAATGCCATCCATGCTCTACCGCCATTTTACAGTAAGATACCAAATTTTACTTTTGGAAAAAATTGTTGAAAGTCAGTAAAATAATTCGAAAAAAATTAGTTTCTAAACTTTTTTGGTAATTGCTTAACAAATAATGTAAGTAATGCCTTAAAAATCTATTAATACTTTTAAATATTAAGCGTATTAGAAATTTTTAAATTTATCTTATAATTTTTTAAATGTAGTCATAATGTGCTTGGTACTACAATAATAACATGAGAATTGCCGTCTGTTATGTAATTACTAATAAGTTTATTAAATAGCCCTCAATAAAGGTCACTATTGACTAAGTAAATAAGGAGTAAGCTCTTGAATTATTTAATTGGAAATATTTCAGAGTTTTATCTTGACAAATTTAGATGCATATACGTTGGATTTTGAAGGAATGCCGGCTCTTATGGCGAATGTATCTACTTTACATCTAACGACACATATTGATGATGTGAAGTGGCAGGATTTTGGAATTAAAACTGACGACGAAGCAATTCAGGTAAATGTGAATGTTAAAACTATTGAAATATTACTCAATGCATTCTCAAAATATTAGATTATTAACTGTACAAGCTTACAATCAATAGGGCATTAAAAATATTCTTTTTTTAAGTTGGAAACAGCGCTAGTTGCAGACGCTTTGAACCATGTCGAGAAAGCTATGAGAGTAATGATGGATAAGCCCGGCAATGTATTGAAGCTATCGCATATACCTTCTCCTCCAGAACTGTGTGCCAGAACTTCAAAAGCTAAATATGAAGAGTTTGCATGGCCTTGGGGAAAACAGCTGCGGGAGGCTTTGATTCAGGTACAATGAAATTACACGTTGTGTCCACACTTATATAATTGCTGGTTTCTAGATAAAAAACGTCCCCATTATTCCCATTATTTCTTGTAGGGAAAACGCGTATACACACGATCTGATAGGTAGTCAGCTAGCAAAAACTTATCAAATTAAATAAACAAAATCACCCCTCGTGAGTTTATTTATTTTTTGTTTGTTAATTTTAACTTCATTGTCGCTTGTGATAAAAACGTTTTCTTTTGGCAAATATTGGATTACAACGGCTATACCATGGAGAGTCAGTTAACGCCTGATTCGAGCAGAACTTGGCTCAAAAGAATATGCTCGTGAGTGTTTGGTGAACCAAGCTTAAATTATCTACTGCTCATTTTTGAATTGTAAACAATGACAATAGAAATATGTTGAACAGTCAATCAAGCCTACTGCTCTTCTACACATTGCGCGACCGATTGTTACCAAATTAGAGGAGATGCGATTGAATATGATTCATCGGCTACCGTATTCTCAATATGATTTAACGGATTTTCGCTCTTAACTTCTCGTTAGGAATAAAATTATCTTCAAACATTTATTCACTCATTCTCGATACACTTTTTTGCACAAAAATGAAAATCAACTCCATATAAAATAGTTAACTGTATCAGATGTACCAGCTACAATTGTAAATAATTTGATTGATTCTATTACCTAAAAACAGCTTTCCTTTTTAATACGCTTATATTAGTTTCAGACGTATTTAAGTATGTTTGTAACGGAATCTTTGAACATGATTTTGACCACCTTCAAAACGTCGGATTAACTCGAAATTTGGTATACTTTTTAAGGACCGATGATAATTCAATATTTAAAAAAATTGAAAATAAATATTGAAAAAATTTAATTTCAATTAAAAAATTAAAAATAAATTATAGTTTAAAAAACTAACAAAATACGCTTTTATAGAAAATCCAACTAAAAATAGAGAATACATTTTAATAAATTTGAATTAAAAGTAGTGTAAGAAAGAATGATTTTATTGTAAAAAAGCGTGGGGTGCTTTTCAGGATATTATCAAAATAACTCTTCTACTCATATCTGTTCATAAAATATTTATAACTACTGGTACCATGCACCCCACGCTTTTTTTTTACAACAAAATAATTTTTTCTTACACTATTTTTAATTCAAATTTATTAAAATTTATTCTCTATTTTTAGTTGGATTTTCTATAAAAGCGTATTTTGTTAGTTTTTTAAACTATAATTTATTTAAATACAACTATGTTAATTAAATCGAATACTATGGGTAATGATTATCTTTTTATTACAGACTACATTTAAAGGTTTTACTGGCTTTATAGAGCTTGACGAAGAAGGCAAACGAAAAAATGTTGTCTTACATTATTCGAAGTTGGGTAAAGACAGTCGATTTAAGTTGGCAGGCACGTGGGAATCTAGAACCAACATAATTAAGACAGAGCGGATTGTAAATGATCGTTCAACAGCGACCAAACCAAACTCCAAAATAAGAGTAAACAGTTATATTAGTAAACATAGAGTTAGTAATATCTAAAATCAAATTGAAATTAATAAAAAGTGTGCAATTTCAGATAGCAACTAAAAAAGATCTCCCATATTTCGATGTAGTGGAAAACGATAATGGGACGTTTTACAGAGGATTCGTTGTAGATCTTATCGAAGCTATATTTAATCAAATTAAAAACGAAACTAACATTGAATTAGAATATGAATTCTATAGAGTTGCTGGTGACAAACTTGGAAATCCCATCCCAAAAACTAAGAAATGGGACGGTATTTTAGGAGACCTAATTGATCATGTGAGTGTTATTATTAATTGATGAAAATAATGTTGCATAAAATCTTAAATAACCGAAAACGTTATCTCAGAAAATTTCAGTTATGACAACATTTTATGATGTATGCAGTTCAAGTGATTAATTGCGATCATTTGGTTTTATCGTTTTCAGAAAGCAGAGCTCGGTGTTGCTGATATAACTATAACTGCGGAAAGACTCACAGCTGTAGATTTTTCGACACCATTCATGGTTTTGGGCATAAGCATGCTATTCAAAAAACCAGTACAGCCACCACCAGACAAGTTTTCTTTTATGAATCCATTGTCGTTGGACGTCTGGTTGTATTTAGCAACTACTTATATAATAGTGTCATATATCTTGCTGATTTGTGCGAGGTTTGTACTTGAAACGGAGTTTCCGTTATTGATGAAGATTTTACGATACATTTCGCTTACGTCAGAGGCTAAACTTACAAATTTTATGGGCTTAAAGAGAGAGAAGATATTGTTCTATATATATATACAGATTGGATTTTTTAAGTCTACGGTCTAGGCGTAGGACGTACAGAAGTGTGTAGAAAAGTAAAAAAAAAGCAGGCAGCGGCTTGGCTCTGCCCCTGGCATTGCTGAAGTTCATGGGGGGACGGTAACCACTGACCATCAGGTGGGCCACATGCTCGTCAGTCTACAAGGGCAATAAAAAAAAAAAGGAAATTTCGATACCAGCACGTTTTAAATTATAGGTCGTTGAGCTGATTGATTACTACTATATATTTTACATTAAATAGGTGTACATAACTTGTTTACCAAGCATTTGAAAATATTCCGTGATTTAAAATTAATTTTAGAATGAGCCAGGAAGACTGGGTCAATCCACATCCATGTAATATGGAACCTGAAAATCTTCAGAATATATGGGATTTGTATAATTGCATGTGGTTAACTATGGGCGCTATAATGACACAAGGCTGCGATATATTACCACGGTAAGCAAACTAATCTAAATGTTAATTGTATTTTCCTTTTATCCTGTATGTTACAGTATAATCATGTTTTATGTAGGTACATCGAAAAATCTGAACGTGTTGATGTATTCACATTTATATTTTACAAACCATTCCATTTTCATTATCCCTGCTGTTTTGTTGTTTTTGTATCACAGAGCACCAGGCTCTAGGTGGATCACCGGTATGTGGTGGTTTTTCGCATTGATCGTGACTGCTTCATACACAGCCAATATGTCCACTTTCTTGATCAACAATCGACGCACTAACTTCATTAAAGACGTTAAGGATCTATCGGAACAAACAAAAGTTTCATACGGGGCTGTGGACAATTCTTCAACGTTTAAATTCTTTAAGGTGAGTTATATGTTTGAATATTTTTGATACCTCCTTTTTACCTATTGTTTTTTTCTTTAATTTGAGTATGCCTTATTAATTAATGACACGATGGCAGTTCCTACTTAATTTTATATTCTAATGATTTTGCTAATAATTTTGAAAGTTATTTTAGTGATCCACGAAAAATAATTTGTAGCATTATCAAATCAAACACAATTTAGTTATAATGAATGGTTAGGTGAAGATTTTGAGGATCTTTTGGGTTACTCTTTATTATCTTGGGTGTCATTTCAGAATTCTAATGAATCTTTATATCAAAAAATTTGGACAGTTATGGAGACTACCAGACCTTCAGTATTCACGAGCTCGAACGAGGAAGGTCTACACCGTGTGCTTAAAAGCGAAGGAAAATACGCGTTCTTCATGGAATCTACAGCAATTGAATATTACACAAACAGATATTGTGATTTAAAGATGGTCGGATCAAAATTAGACTCAAAAGAATATGGAATCGCAATGCCAAAAAGTATGTGTTTCTCCTGTAAATTGATATTCATAATTTGAGAGCAAAAGTATTGTGCTTTTTCTTACACTCTTTGGTAGAAGTCGTTTTGTACCCTATATTATGTCACTTGTATAGCAGAGCCGGATGGTACGTTGGATGAAAGCAGAGTTTTGACATGGTAGTACAAGTTGTCTCCTGTGCACAGTAACGATGCGAGTTTTAAAAACATTTGTTTAATAGTCTCCTTGCGAGATGTAGTACTTACAAGAGACCAGAATTATTGCCAAAACAAAGATGATTCGCCATTATATGAACTCAAATGGAAGTTGCTGGTAATCTGGTACAATACTCTTCATTTAAGCAATAAAAAAAAAAAAACAATGCGGGGTTGAAAAAAAAAGATAAATTATAAAGTAGGCCCAGGCTGATAGTGTAACTGGCAATCCTTATTCTTTACAATGGCATATAATATTTTCAGATTTTCCGCGTAAAGGATTGATTGATCACGCAATTTTATCGCTACAACAATTAGGAGAAATAACAAGATTGAAGACGAAATGGTGGGAGATTGAAGACAACGACCCTAAACTATGCGAAGTATTTTTATTATCCCGTTTAATTCTAAATATTTATTTTAATTACATAAGTTGTACTCAAATTAGTGTAATTTTATGACCTTTTTTTAGAATAAGGATTCGGACAACCAAGAAGGCCAAGGTTCTTTGCAAATGGAGGATACAAGTGGTATCTTTATAGTTCTTGGAGCCGGAGGTATATTAGGACTTTTTGTTGCCATCATAGACTTTTTACTGTACGCGCAACAGATTAGTGTTAAAGAAAAGGTAAGTTGCATCAAGTATAATTTCATTAAGTTAAATACAGGTTAGAATAGCTTAAATTGCACTGGATTTATTTTTAACAAAGTTATTATTGAATAAATGTATGTAAAGTAATATAGACAATTGGGCAATCCGTCTAAGCATTAGTATTACTACGCAAGAAAACCTTGCCAAAATGATATTAAATTATACTTGATAAAAATACATTAGATTACTCGTTGTAGCTTTGGGTGGTATTTAGTATAATAGTGTTTTAGAAAGATAATAAAAAACGTTATTAGAATATTTTCCTCTAATTCAAATTCATCAAATTTATTTTGTCTAACAGTTTCTTAACTTCTTTTTTCTTCTTTAACCAATGAAAGTTAGTTACCTATTGCTCAATTTGTTAATTCATTGTATTTTCAGGTCACATTTCGTGAAGCTTTACTCAGTGAGTGGAAATCGTCTTTGAATCCTAGAGAATTGCATCGATTGGCCGCGCCCCCACGTTCGGCGGCTCCTTCCACCGCCACTCCATCACCGGAAAGAGAGCGATCTAGATCTAGAGCAGTTTCCGTCATCAGAGCTGCTTCCTCATTCATTAATTTTGACGAGATCTACTAAATTTGAATAATTTAGATGTAATACTTATTAATGGTAAGGCCTATAGTGAGTACGAACCATTGTACCAACGGTATGTGTTTTGCAGTAAATGTATGATTTTTTTATTCAATAAAATGAATGAGATAAGAGATTTTTATAAAAAAAGCTACTTAATCCAAAGTAAGACGATTATAATTCATCACTTGGTGATGATTATGCTGTTTTTACTAAAGGTATAATTATTATTATTTATTTATTTATTTATTCTAATATTTTTTTTAACAATTTTGTGCACAAATTAAGAAAAAAAGAGTCATTAAGTTTATTCCCGAGACATAATAAATAGGGATGAGTCGTTATGGAGGCTCTAAAGTGAAATGCACAATAGTATGACTATTCCCTCATAGGTGCTTTGGTAAAATTCCTTAATTTTCCGAGGATTTTTCAATCTTGAATACTTGGCGGAAGAGTGTATTCTAATCGTTTCAACACGGATTTTTACCACTATTCAGCCGATTTTTTCTGCCAAACAATTTGGTTTGAAGAGTAAGATAGTCGTTGCTTGGATTTCGTGTTTATGACTTTCGCTAACAGCTTAACGTCAGTCGGGCCAAGAGGTTGTCGCTGATATCCGCCATTATAAAAAAAAAAGACGTGGGCACTCGGAGACTGCCGCGGTAAAGCTATTGCATAGCATTTTTTATCAACTTATGCAATTATAAATCGACAATAATAATTTAATAATAAAACAACAATAAAATAAGATCCGGCGAGAAAGTCAGTGGGCTAACTTTTAATGAATCTGCTGCATTGTGAGTATTCCATTTTGACCGCGCACTCACTAGAGGGCGCTACATGGGATAGAGACACCTTTGGATGCTAGTTCTAACTCTCATTCGCCCAGAATCAACGGTTTAGCTAGTTTATTTTTAATGCCACTCCAATCACTGAATGAGTAGTAATAAAATTCATCGACTAAGCGATAGAAAATGGCACGCCCAACGCATTGTAATGTGATATAATTTTCTATTTTACAATTCCGTTTGTCGCCAATAGATGGCGCTTGACGCAAAAGCTGAATCGTGCTATTCGTTACCCACGAAATTATATCACATATTTTGATAGTACATAAATCGGTGTTTAGACTTCTTACTTTAAACACTACACAAGCGCAACTTGTAAATGTGTTGAACGCGAGCTACATAGTAGGCGTAGTGAGGGGTGGAAGGTTTTTTTCGTTACGGAATTTCACGATTCCGCTCTCAAGCCGCGCTCAAGGCCCGCGATAAAATCTATGCAATAGCTTAAAATATAGCATTTTTTATTGCTCAAACATATGACTGCACAAGAAAATAGTTTAATATTATTCAAGACTTTTATGGTTTCAGTATCATTAAAGAACAGCTTACATCCGGTGATTAGATAAAGAAGCAATAGGTTTTACTCTACATGCGATGTAGATTTACCATTGTTAGGTCTTCAAAGGGCGCATTGTGGATTTACTACCATTTGTTTTACTAATAAATTATTTATTTTTTATATTCTGTATACTTTCCATGTATTAGGAGCATGACAAAAACTACAAGAAATAATCTTCTTTCAGTAGTCTAGATATTTTTTTTAATTGTTTATAATGATAGTTGAAATTCATTTAACTGTGATTCTTGAATAAATCTACGTGGAAAAGATCCGCTGCCGATCTTAGTACCGACGAAGCTCTGGAAACTGGATTCGATTCGGATGCCGAGGAAGATGGGCGTGAGTGCTTTACCGGCTTTTCTGTTTCCCAGAAACTTAAGGCGAACTTCAATTCTGCCCAGAATGCTTCTGACTGGGTCATCTATTAAACAGAAATAGTTAATTACTGTAGTTCATTGGTTTATAAAATGGATTGTAAGTACTGCATTGCAATTTAGTGTTTTTTTTATTGCTTAGATGGGTGGACGAGCTCACAGCCCACCTGGTGTTAAGTGGTTACTGGAGCCCATAGACATCTACAACGTTAATGCGCCACCCACCTTGAGATATAAGTTCTAAGGTCTCAAGTATAGTTACAACGGCTGCCCCACCCTTCAAACCGAAACGCATTACAGCTTCACGGCAGAAATAGGCAAGTTGGTGGTACCTACCCGCGCGAACCCACAAGAGGTCCTACCACTAGTAAGCACAAATCACACACACAAATTTTCACAATTTTCACTTCATTTTTTCATTGTCACATATTTTCAAAAACATAACTTGCAAAATCAGTTTTATTGAATGTGGTACAGTTAAATCATTAGAGTGCTGGCTATAGAGATATTTGCTTGTTTATGTCTTACCTTTTGTTCTATAGCAACTTCCCTAACGTGGTATAAGAATTCAAAGATGCCCATTGCTGCTGCTATCCCGCATCCGATTCCCAGCACAACAAATACACCACCCACATTATCAACGCCTAATGGACTCATACCGGTATCGGCTTTCTTTTCCGTCTACAAAGCAAATGTATTTATAATATTTCAGTTATAAAACTGAGGCTGGCCGTAATTTTTAATTGATGTCATCACTAGATGAAAGAATCCTGCTTAATGCTGGACGTACTGCTGGGCATGGGCTTTCCCCAAGTACGGCTAATACCAGCTGTTTCACGGGCAGACGAGTATGAGGCCTACCAGATGGTTACCATCGCTCATGGACATTAGCAATGCCAGCAGAGCCAGAGCCAAGACGCTACCTTTTTATTTATTTATTGCTTAGATGGGTGGACGATTTCACAGCCCACCTGGTGTTAAGTGGTTACTGGAGCCCATAGACATCTACAATGTAAATGCGCCACCCACCTTGAGATATACGTTCTAAGGTTTCAGTATAGTTACAACGGTTGTCCCACCCTTCAAACCGAAACGCAATACTGCTTCACGGCAGAAATAGGCAGGGTGGTGTTACCTACCCGTCCGGACTCAAGAGGTCCTACCACCAGTACTCAAGAGTAAAAGCTCTTCGGAAGATTTTTGGTTGGTTACATACACAAGTTTAGTCTAAAAAGGCATAAACGTATAACTCTTTACGTCTCTTTTAAATCAAATGCATACCTTAAAGTATTAAAACAGAAACACTAAAAAAAATGCAATTTTATATTTATATCTTTGGCGTTTACTAAAGAACGAGAATTTTGGTTTGAGCCATTTTAATCCTAAAGGTGCTCTATATGATACATTTCAAATGTAAACCTGTAATTATTGCCAATATTCTGTTAATTCGGCGATTAGCCGCGGAGATTTTAAGCAAATCTCACATTCGACCGTTATTTTATCATTATAGTTGCTTCTTTGGTTGTGTCCCTGGCATTGCTGACGTCCATGGGCAACAGCAACCACTCACTAGCAAGTGGGCCGTATGCTCGTCTGCCTACAATGTAAATTAAAAAAAAGTATTTCGCTATATCTCAAATATCAAATATTAAACTCTAGTAATAATTTTAGTATTTCTTCAGGTTAATGTTAAATCATTTAAATGTTAATTTAAGTACAACGAATTTTTTTTATCGTACATTAACCATTTGTGTGAAAATTTATTAAAAACTAACAACACAAGCTTCTTCGGGAGGCAATTTCCACCAACGATTTTTTATCTCCACCAATTTCCCGCTTTCAGCTAATTTTAGTACAGCGTTGTCGACGGCACCACGGTATGAAGAGACTGAAAAATAAATTTCATTTTGATAGCATTCCGGGACAATTTTTCTCTGTTCTTTTTTTATATTACTGTAATGTTGAAACAATCAAATTTTTTTGTTCAGTTTATCCATCATTTTCATAGGAAATTTATAAAATGAATTAATGGAATATATCTTACAAAATGGCATTGCGATTCCATATCCTTTTGAATCAAGAGGGTCGCCGATCTGCATTAGTTCACAATGACGTTCTAACTGGTATTCAATAGCAGTTGATTCCATGAAATAGGCATAACCTCTTCTGCTTTTAAGTACTCTTTCGACGCCTTCGTCATTGTTTTTTACGAAAACCGAAGGACGAGCGGATTCCATGGTGCCCCACATTTTTCTATACGTGGTTACATTTGATCGCTAAAATCATTTTGTCATTGTCATTTTCTGATCATAGAATGCAAGTTCGATTGGTTTTTTAATTGTTTATTTTATAAATTGAGTAAACCGCTTTATTTCTATAAGAGAAGAGGCCGTCTCACAGAAATCATCACTTAAATCCCCAAAAAGACAAAGCGCTATCATCAAATAGTTCTAAGAAATTGTTAGCTTCTGAAGCGTACGTATATGAGACGCCCGTTGGATTCATATTAAATTAAGCGATTATATCAGGATCAAAGTTCTTTATTATTGACCATTATCGAAGTAGTTCTGTAAAATAATAGCGATTTGCGATACACACATTTTAATACAGAAAACTTAAGGTTTGAAAGCTGGGACAGCCGTGGTACTGTAAAAATTGAGACCTTAGAACTCGTGTTTCAACGTGGGCGATGGCATTTGCGCAGTAGATGTCTATGGGCTTCGGTAACCACTTAATACCAGGTAGGTTGTGAGCTTGTCCACAGATCTTACCGATAAAAAAATAAAAATTTAAATTCCACCATAGACTCTGATCTTTGACATGCCGTGACTTTTGATTTATTGATATTTATCGATTTTTGTGTATTGTGTTGGTGTGTGACAAAACATACGCTACCAATACTTTGTCACATATTGGATGACATGAAATACACGGTTAAATACCTTGAAAAATGAGTAAGTGGAACCACCAAATAAAGTTCCATATTTAACTTTGGTTTGTGAAGCTAAGTCTTCAACATTTTTAATGGAATCATCCATTGCAGCGTTAGTTAAGAAGGCAGCGAGATTGGCGGTGTATGACGAACACATGATAAGAGCAAAGAACCACCACATCCCGCAAACCCACCTCGTGGAATAGCCCCTGAAATAAAGAAGAAGAATTAACCGGTCAGCAATAGTGTAATGTTTATTTTGCGGGTGTGTCCTCTTTTTAAACAATTCAAATTATTGAAATAACGGAACCAAAACTACATTTTACAATTTACGAAATTGATAGCACATTCTTAACGCATTCGAACCCTTGATGACGCGTTGTGACCTCACAACTGGTGCTAGTCTGCCTATAATTGTC